CCATCTACTTCCGACCCATGGGACCTTATTTCGGAAAAATTATGTATTAAAGTCAACGGGGAGAGAGAGATTATCTTTCGATTCCGTTTGAATTGTGCCACGAATTACACATATGATGTTTGTCAATTTAAAAAGATAATTTTGCAAGTAAAAAAAATGTCAAGTAACACTTTTTTTTGGTGAAACCGCTCAATGAACTACCTCTCCCGTCTCGCACCAAGACGGCCGTCACGTTGGCACATTTCACTTCTTTCTTTCAGAATGAGGCGAAAAGTATTACAAGAGGTGAAAATCACTACTCTGGGCATGTTGAGAGCTGTACATACACACAAGAGGAGTCAGTCGGTCCCGTATGAGCCAGCATGCGGGACTGGGATTCTGGGATTTGTAGTCTTTCTAGTTGCATATTTTTCATAGTCTTATATTTCAACAGTTTTATGAAAAACTGACTTTTTTTGACATGGAAATTCTTTTTTAAGATTGACAAACATCATATGTGTAATTTGTTGCACAATTCAAACGGGATCGAAAGATACGTTTTCTCTCCCCATTGACTTCAATACATACTTTTTCCGAAATAAGGTCCCATGGGCCGGAAGTAGATGGGCGGGACTTCGCCTATCTATAGAAAATGAGAATATGGAAACATATTTGCATTGACAGACTATTGGCTCTATGGTTTTCTTTTAAATATAAATAAAAAATGATAGATTCCACAAGCAAACTGTTTTTCATTAAGTTTGGGGAATTAAGCAAAGCCAACATCACAACCCACAAAAAGGGGCCAAGGGAAGCGTGATTATCAAAAGTGAGGAACATATATATAGTAGAGGTAGAATGAGCCGACTGCAAAAGTAAACATAACATGTCAACAAGGTCAAATGTTTGTTTCAGCTGGAAAAGAGTCTTAAAGCCCAGATTGATGCTTGGGAGCAGGAGCACGAAAAGGAGTTTCTGGTCAATGGACAGAAATTCCTTGAGTACGTGCAGCAGCAGTGGGATCACCACCACGCTGAAAAGGAGAGGGAGAAACTGGAGAGGGTGTGTTTTAACTTTGATTTAAAAGATTAAATCAAGTCTTACATTTCTTTGTCAAAGGGATTTTATATGACTACGGTATATTCTTCTTTTTTGTTTAAATTAGCAAATGAAGAAAGTCAAACAGATACAGGAAGACATGTTATATGGAACTACAACGAAAACACCATCCAAAAGGCCGATGGGAGGGACTTTCACGCCTGGAAAAGTGAGAAAGGTAAGATGGTGCTGCAATTTTATTTTAATTGATTTCATCAACTGACTATACCTCAGTGACTGAATAGATTTGAAGGTTCACCCGGCCTTTTTCCTTCTGTCTTTTAGCTCAATGGCATCTCCACCATGTCCACTCCTAACAGCTTCCTCAGTGGAACCATGTTCCAATCGTCCGGCTCCAAACCCCCTCTGTCATCCAGCAAGGTGAGCCCCCTGTCTCTCTGACCCCTCACTGACCACATTTACCATACATTTGAGAGCCTGTTGGATTTTGAATTAATTAGCAGGCTGCAATATTGTCTCTGTTTTCTCTTACCTGCCAGGGCATTTAAGCACCAAACGATGTATTTTTGTATGCAGATCTCACGTTTTGTCCTTACTGATCAACACCTAAGTATAATACGTTTCAAGTATGCTGCAGACCATGAGATGGAGAGATAAACAATAGGCTAGAAGTGAGCCCAATTGTAATAAGAGGAGGCTCATGTCCCCCCTGTATACTGCTCACCTTACATTTATCATAATTGGATATGGCATTATTATTGTATTCTACTAAATACTGTTTGAAGCAATCGTTTTTATTTTATAGTACCAGGGTGTCCGTGGGGTCTTAAAAAGTATTAAAAGTTGATAAATCAATTTAGCGAAAATTAAGGCTATTAAAAAGTATTAAACGGCATTTTCCAAGTTATTACATTTTCTAGCTTGTTTTCAATAAGTATATAAATTGTCCAAAGAGGTTGTATTTACAGTCTGCCTGAATGTAATCATTGCGTAGGTGTGTAGTGTGATTCTGTGTAGTTTATTTAT